CCTGAATGTTTTCTCGGGGTCTGAGAGTCCTTCTAGCAGTTCTCCAGTCCTCGAAGAACTTCTAGGCATACACCTGATTTCCACAAGAGTTCAAACGTTAGAATTTCAATGAACAGATTGGGTATAGAGAAAACTGACTACACTAAGAATTTTTGTACTTCTTTCAATTGTAATTGATAACACCGTTAATTCCCCAGCAACGGCGCCAAAATTTGATAATGCCAAACTATGCCTTATAAAAAGACACACGGACGTAGCAAATATAGTCTGAGTAATTCTGCCCAGAGTCGAACCACAGAGAATTAACTTATCAATTACTTTTGTCGGACTTATTAAATTCACAGAATCAATTTCCACAAACTTTGTGATTCACAATTGATGATATATCTAACAACTAAACTGAAAATAAATAACAGCTGAAAGTTAACTAAGCTTGCTTGTATATAATTGGAATAAGGTCTAAGATAATGGTTTCCCCCGTTGTTGATTTCCTTGGTTGAATATGTTTTATAACTGAGACTTAGTTGTCTCCATCAATCATGAACACTACAGCTATCATAAATCTTTCTCAAGCAATTATGATAATTTACTAGACGCACTCTCTCAAGCTACGCTAGCTAGATTCGCATTACGGTTCACTTAGATTGCACCCGAGGTATCGTTATCTCTAATCCAACCTCTAAACCCTCGGTTATGACTCTCGTCTATACTCCAGGAGTGATGTTGTTCATACAATTACCTAAATATGCACTCTCTCTCAAGCAGATACATACTAAATAGGGACGGATAATTGAGTGCCCTTTCAATTAACCACAATCAAGACGTAGATGAACAAATAGAGATTAACAACCCATTCAAAACTATATTAGTATAACAACCAAGTCATCCCTAACGGGTTTCACCAAAATCTTAGATTAAAGTATTTAGCTACTCATAACAAAGTAAGAGAAAACAACTAAAATATTCATAATGGAAGAATTGCAAGAAGATAGAAGAGATAAAGAACTATGATGTTTTGGGTGATCTCTCACACTTGTTCTTCTTCCAAAAGTAATCTCCAAAAATAAGCTTTTTTTATCTTGGGCGAGTTTCTACATCTTATAAGGTTTTTACAAAAGCTTCCCCGAATTGACACTTTGGCCCTTAAATTTCTGGATCGTGAACAGTTCACCGCGGCCGCGGCATGGACCGCGATCGACCGCGGTGAACACTGCCTGGGCCTATTTTTGTGTTTTGTCTCCGCGTTCTACTCCGCTGTCCACCGCGATCGCGGTGGACTTTTGTCCAGTCATTTTCTTTTGCTCTTTTGTGTAAGGGTACTTCTTGAGTGGGTGTTTTCTTCACATTATTGCCTCCAAACACTTCATGTTGCTTCTTCACATATAATATTCCCTGCGAAACCAAATAGCACCTTTTAAAGCATTTTATTGGCAAATTACCTTATAAAACAACAACAAAGCATGGGCAATTAAGGTGTAAATATCAACTATATAGCCTATTATCAATCAGCTTCAAGGTGCCAAAGTGTTTTCGAAGATTGATCTGAGATCTAGCTACCATCAGTTGAAGATTAGGGCATCGGATGTCCCTAAGACAGCTTTTCGGACTCGTTATGGTCACTATGAGTTCTTAGTGATGTCATTTGGCTTGACAAATGCCTCAATAACATTTATGGATTTGATGATCCGGGTGTTCAAGCCCTATTTCGATTCTTTTGTGATCATCTTCATTGATGATATTTTGGTCTACTCCGTACAATCGAGAGGAGCATGAGCAGCATCTTTGGATCGTTCTTCGGACTCTGAGAGATAGTCAGTTATATGCCAAGTTTCAAAGTGTGAGTTTTGTTTGGACTCAGTTGCCTTTTTGGGCCATGTTGTATCTTTCGAGGGCATTAAACTGGATCCTATGAAGATTGAGGTAGTTCAGAACTGGCCTAGACCTACTTCAGCTACAGTGATTCGGAGCTTCCGTACTCACCCTACAGTTTTGCATTGTGAATGTAGATGCTGAGGCGGCCACCAGCACGATTAGAGAGTGAGATTTGGATATCTTTTGAGATTCTAACAATGAGCTGCCAGCTTGTTTGTGGTAGCCTAGAATCTTAGTCTTGTTTATTCATATTTAGACTTGTCTTTTAGGACAGTTAATATTTTTGATTCTTAGTTGCTCATGACTTTTGACACTAGTTTATAGGATTTTTTTTAGTCTTCCGTTGTATTAGATATTATTATCTACGTATGGTTATTGTGTTATGGTTCCCCAAATGTGTGAGTTGTTAGGTATTATCACGGCTTAGGTAAATTGGATGGTGGCAATGTATCTGTTAGTACATATTTTTTAGAAAATACATGGAAAGTCAAAAAACATCAAAGTAATGACAAGAATCCAATGATAAAATACCGACTTAATTGATTTGGTTTAATTCCAATATTTGAAAGATTAACTTAATTGATTTAGTTTATCTTTTATAGGAAAACTGACTCAATCAAGCCGTGAACACCCTTACTCCTAAATTACTAAACAATTCATATGATACATATTTTGGGTGCTAATCAATGGCTATAAAAAGTAACTATTTTCTCCTTCTTTTCTTTTTGTGTGTGTGTGTTTTTTTTTTTTNNNTTTTTGGGGGGGGGGGGTGGTGTTGAGGAGGAGGAGGAGGACTATAAAAAGTCAATTCCATTTCAGTAAGCTATATTCTCAAAAGCTATTCCTTCCATCCCATTTTATGTAGTAATAATTTTTTTAAAGCAAAAATAAAATATTTTTAAAGTTTGTGATTTAAAATAGGCCACATACATTTATGTGGCTATAAAATTATGTCTAACTTGTCAAATTGAAAGTTTAAAGTTAAAAGGCAGAATAGCCTAAGATACCTATACTTATCCCGCTTTGTCATCCCGGTCCCGATACTTTACAAGGTTTCATTCGAACACTTGTAGTTATTAAAATATACTACTTTAAACCCGTCTGACCGTTGACAGAGCATATGTGGCAACTTGATGGCCGAGTTGGACAAAATACGTGAATTTCACGTGTATAAGGAGCGTGAAATATAAAAAGTTAGACTATAAATAATTAAAATAAGAATAATGAATAAAAAGAAAAAGTAAAAGATAAAAAAATAAAAACAAACATGCCTCCTTCCCCCACGCCTCTCCCATTTCCTTCTCTTTCTACAGTTCTCCTTTCCCCTTTACCCTTCTTTCACCACCTCTCCTCCATCTCTTTTCTCGTTCCCCATTTTTCCTTTCCCATTATTCATCCTTTCCATTTTCACAAACTTTAAATCAATATTTGAGAAAAATATATTAAAAACCCCTTTCTTAAGAACAATCAGCATTAGTGTTTTTGAGATGAATTAGATCTATGGCTATTACAGTGTTGATTCTGTTTTGGGTAAGGATCGTTTTGGGACTATGATTTTCAGGTTGTGGACTCGATATTTAATGGCAGATTTATTTGATCGAGAGAAGCTAATTTTTTTTTGACAGTTTNAGTTTATAGGTGTAGAGTCTTGTAGATGCGTTTTGGTAGAGGTGTGGTTGACGGAGGGTCGTTTGTCAGAATTAGGTAGTGATGTACAACATAAAATTATAGTGGACAAGAATATATATTGAGCACATTCACTGGTGGTACCTTGGCATCAATGGAGGAAGGAGTTTAAGGTGGTTCAAATGGTGGATTGATGTAGTGAGTGGCGTCGTTGGACAAATATTTGTAAGGGAGAGATGGACGATGGAAAATTGGAGAATGATGATTTTTTTGTTATCCATGGTGGTATTGTTGCTGGTAAAGATAGAAAGTCAGAGTGTTATTTCTTGCTTTCTGCTGTGAAAAATGAAGAGAGATGGTAAGGGTGGGGGAGGAGTCTGAGTGAAAAAGAAAAAAAATTAATTTTTTTGAAATTAAATTAAAAAAATAATGATGTGTCATAAAAAATCTGATGTGGAGGACGACGTGTCATCCACATTGTGCATTTGAAGAACACGCGAGGTAGGGAGGGTTTAAAGTAGCGTGTTTTAACAAGTACCGAGTGTCTGGGTGAAATCTTGTGAAGTATAGGGACCGGGATGACAAAGCGGGACAAGTAGAGGTATATAAAAATATGACATTTTCTGTAACAAACTAAAAAGGAAAACGTGTCACGTAAAAGAAACTTTGTATTAGAATTATGCAAGACAAGTTCACGGTAACAGTTCAATGTATATTTCAGATATTTAAAACAACCTTAATTTTTGAATTCTACTTCTTCTGACATTGCTGTTCTTGGACATGGTTATTCCTCATGGTGGCCAGGATATTTTGGACAGTCCTATCTATTGTGAACTCTATAGTGGCCCTGTCTCTGATGCATGTAGCCATTGCCTCTTAACGATTAGCCCCACACACCTCTGTCATTGTCTCTAAACTAAAGGGGTAAATGGTGAAAATAACAAACAGAACGAGAAAGAAGAAACGCCCAACATTTTTAAGATCAAAATGGCAGCATTGCACAAAAATTCATTATCATTTATGAGGGTGTGCTTGGTATGACCGAAAAAGTTTGATTGGCTAAAATTCTGTGAAAAATATTTTCTTTATGAACTCATTTTCGATCAATAAGAGGAAAATATTTTCACCACCAAGAGGAGGGAAAACATTTTCCAAAATTCTTTTTCAACCTTTCTCATCCTATTCTCCACCCCCACTCACCCCCATGCCTACCCCTACCCCCCCCCCCCCACCATCCCACCCTCACCCCGCCCTACCTCCCATCCCCACCCTCTCTCTCATCCCCCAGTTGCCCCCACAACCCTACCTCTCACCGCCTATCCCCCACAACCCTACCTCTCACCGCCTATCCCCCTACCGCCCACCCCACTTTTTCCACTAATCTAAAACTAGAAAATATTTTTCGCAAAAAATGTTCCACTCACCAACCAAACATGCAAAAGTGATAAAACCAATCATTTTCAGGAAAAACATTTTCCTTCATGCCAAACACACCCTTAATCTCGATATGGATTCTGAAAGTAAGTAGCATTTATTGCATGGTCAGAATCCTCTACATTGTTGAACGATGAATACAAAATTCTGCAGAATTTATATTGAGTCGGGTGGATACACTCAGAAAATGCATAAGGCGGCAAATGAGGTTATAGCTGTTGTCAGCAATATCGATACGAGGTTCACGGTATTATTGTCAAGGACAGTAAGACCAGATATTCTCTTCACAGTTGGCCCTGGCTTCCCAACCACCTGCAAGGTAAGATATCACCATATTAAACTCCGAATTATGAAGCATCAATAACCAACAGGGTAGAGGAATATCAAGTGTCCCAAATTCCAAAATCTTGTTTCTTGTTGTTTAGTCATTTGCTCCTTTACATAATGAACTTGGTATCCTTTTTCTCTCCAAATCTTTTCTGGGGTATATCTTCGCTTTAAATATCAAGATACCACTTAGAATCAACAGAATTTCTTTTAAAAGATACTTCTAAGATATTTTCAATAAATCTCCTTAGCAAAAAAGAACAACTACCGGCAAGTTTTTTTTTGAGAAATGATTTCCTAAACATACAGTAGACTGGCTGTATCTCTTCTTTTGGTTCAGTAAGTTATAATCCTTTAGTTTAGGTATGCAAAAAAGACTACTTACATTTACCTTTCAATTGCTAAAAGAACGTTTGATTGGATATTAGAGCACAAAGAATATTAATCAACTAGATCTTCTGAATACTTGCAAAATTATAACCTAAGTTGCTCCGACAAGACAGTTTAGGTGTCGCATTCGTGTCGACACAACACTTGTGGGTGTGGGCATGAGATTCGTACCGGATTTGGTCAAACAATTTTGGGTACTTTGACCACGACGAGACGAGATAGAATTTGATTCCCAAAATCAGAACCAAAACTAGGGTAAATTTGAAGAAAATAGCATACCTTATCTAGGAAATCAATCATTTACTTATCTACAATTTAAGAATAAAAGAGAAATTCACACTTTGCAAGCTATGTGTAAGTGTTCTACAAAATTTGCATAATTTAGAGATTCTTTTTTTTTTGTGTGTGTGAATTCCAGACCCTACTTGTGGGAATGTACTGGGATTGTTGTTGTTGTTATCTTTTTTGAATTGTTTTAGCCAGACCACACCTTAGCAATACATTACACGCTGCAACTCAGATATGGACTTCAAACCATCTCAGCAAAAACTGACACGGATTGATTTTATGGTTTTAGAAATGCACTGACAGACGTCTTCTACATTTTTGGTTTTCATTTCCAGAGAAGAGGGGGTGGGCTGATTGGCTACTCTCTACTATTTATTGCATAAACAAATCAATTAGTTCTTTTAAGACATTAATTACGACTAACCTTCTTCCGAACAGTACAGAATCCACTGAATTGCAGTGTTGCTCCCAATAAAGAATCAATAACACTACCGCATACTCCAGCCAGTGCAGAAAGCGGTATCACCAAAAGCTGCTTTACAGTCACATCAGATGTGCATTTTGTAGTGAAAAATCCCAGGACTACAAATGTGAATCCAATGACAGCGCCTGCTGCTGCTGCAGCCAAGAGTCCTGCTTTTGTCACTCCACCATTTGTACCCCTTCGAACAGGCTGATTTTAAGTATAAGGAGAAATGAGAAACATAATGTCTTAAATCTTTTACCTTCAGATAATAGTTCAAAAAGGGTTGACATAAAGCATCATTTTAAACTGATTATCATGAAAATTTTTAAGGTAGTTATCATGTTTCCAGGCTTAAGCTGGGAAGAACTCAGTTTATCATGAGACTAGCACATAGTTGACTATCAATAAACTAATCGAAATCTGTAAGGACAAAAAAAAAGAAAAGGAAAAGCTTAATCAGCATTTGATACCTATTCATCATTGAAGAGAAAAGGCACTGTGCATTGTTTTCTCCTATGTATGAGGTGTCAGACTAAAGGATTAAGCAGATGTCAAAGCTTTAAATTCCCACCTTGAAGGTTGTAATAAGCCGAGGCTCCTCGTTACTAAGTATCCCAAGCTCTGAAGACCATGTGTCCCCATTGCAGCAGCAATACTGACCAATGATACCACCAATTAAAGATGTTATTATGCGTGACTCTTTTGAATCCAGACACTTGTCCTGTGACCCAATCAACATCCATGCAGTCAGAACCAATAGGGTAGCAATGCCACTGTTGAAGAAGACTTGAATCCTGTAAACGCAAAGTAAAATGCTAATGAAGAAAGCTAAAAACTCTCTCACACAATTACCTGTGGGCTTTCTACAAGGTTACTTGGTATCCAATCACACAAATTTAAAAATACATTCTGCTGAAATTACACTCGTCTTGAATAAAGTGTCAAAATGTTACTCTTCCTTCTTATTCCTATCTCATAATGACTAGGTGAGTTGTTAATTTTACAATGTCAAGATATCATTTTCTTTGGCAAATAAAAGGGCTACAATGAACTTTTCTGAAAGTTTGCAACACCGAAAAATTTGGTAGATAACAGAACTTCCACGAAAGACTAAATATTCACATTCACTTAACTGTCCTCGTTCTCAATCCAAAAAAGCACAGACTAACTGAGAAAACTTCTACAAAAGACTTTATTCCGGCATTCAAATAACTGTTCACATTCTCCATCTAGAAATCAGAAAACACTACATTGTCAAAGTTCTTACTGCTTCAAGAAAACTTCAATTTTAAATTTTTAGTCAAATCTGTAATAAATGTTAGATAAGCCCTTATTAAAATAACTAGACAAGCAAGTAAACAACATTTTTCAGAAAGTAGTACCTCATACAGGCAGAGGATACAAGCACCATGTTAAATTTCAAAATTATTAAGTGGTATCTTCATCTCATATCAGTCCTTCCTTTGCACCTATTGAAAGGTATGAGATGAGATGAAGGCACCAGTTAACAATTTTGTAATTTAACATGGTGCTTCTAAGCTCCGCCTATGTGATCATGCTCACAATACCGGTTTCAAGCCCGGAAGGAGCTGAAGGTTGTGGTAGGTTAATAAGCCAGCGTAAAACAAATCAAATTGTGATGAATTCTCACAATATATACATTGGGACATGCTCCGTAGACACAGGTTACATAGTACTTGGGTGTGATAAAAATTAGTAAAGGGGTTCTATCACATGACAACCTCGACATGAGGGAGTATAAGCAAAGGTTCCTACATCAAGAACGAGTATGGGTAAAGAAGGTAGTCCTGCCACATCGACATCTAGGCGTGGTGCAATAGTGCTTGGATGGTTAGAGTAGTATGGCATCGGATCCACAATAAAACTGGCTTTAATCACATAACGTCATAACCCAAAGAATCTATGAGTGGTTTTCATGGATTACCGCAAAGTATGAAGATTAAGCAACACTATAAGGTGAATATAATGTAAAATTTACACTTTGCTCGTGCTTTCAGCTTAGACATACTTCAACAACACTAAATTTCAACAGAACCTTTTTGCCATCAATCAACAGTAAATTCAAGAGAAATAGCAAAAATCATGGAAAATGAATCATATATCACCGCCCTAAATTTCTCGTTTTTTCTTTTTCAAAATTTCCTAACATGTTGATAGACTTATCAATATGTTATGAGTAATTATGGTTCTTGTATAGGTCCAGTTTCAGCGCATAGAGACCAATATGTAAGTAAGTTTGAGAATTGAAGAACCTCTACTGTTAGAAAATCATATTCGCATATATAAAGTATTACTTCAACTAGTTAATTTAGTGTTTCAATTTCATGATAGAAACAATAGTCATACAATGAGAGAAACGAGAGTATTACCAATCGCGTTGACCACCCTCTTTAAAATCAGCATCAAGTTTCCTCTTTCTATCTTCTCCAAATCGGGTAAACTTTGAACAAGTAAAAAAGAACACCAGCAACATTGCTCCAAACCTTATAACAATACGATTTCAGATCAAAAATCAGAAATCAACAACTAACAATACAGTGTTTATGCGACTGTTGCAGACCTGTAATTAACGGCAAGGTGAATAAACATGACAATGAATCCAGAAATGGCGCCGGACAAGTTGAGAGACTTCCGTTTGTGAGCTCTAATGGCGATTACCGATGAAACAAGTGCAGCCACTGCCGGTTGAATTAAATGTTTTTCCATTTTTTCGCCGGCAACTGCTACGCTTTCGGCTGATCTATGAATTTAGAGAGATAGTAAGTGGAGAACTTATGTTAGTTGTTGAGTTGGCTTATTTTGACTTGATTCTCTAATATTCATTTGGCTGCTCAGTTTCTATAATCAATTCTCAATTATCATAATCTGTGGTTGTATTTCCGTCCCAACTATTACCTGGTCTTTAGTTTGTGTGCCACTTTTATCTTTATTTTATAATAACAATTCAAAACGTTGATGCAAATTTAAAACAGTTTTATTTTACATAAGTTCAATAACTTTAAATTCCCAAAATGATTTAGCTGATCATAATAAAAAATTCAAGGTGTGTGTTGGTATGCAGGGGCGGATGCACCTTGGTGTAAGCGGTTCGCCAGAAAAAATCACTAAACATGTGCAAGTTACATGTACAAAAAATATTTTATTAAATAAACAAAAAAAATGATGTGACTTTACACATACTTCTCGCTAGCTCTGTTGGTCAAGTGCTTCACTTTTTGAGGAGAGGTCCGTTTTCTGCTAAAAAACTTGTTTTTCCTCCAAGTATGTTCCATGGTAAGTTTCGTACTATTTTTTTCTTTCTATCTTTTTCTTAGGGGAAGATGAAGTTGGTCCGAACCCAAATTGTAAAGTCAAATAATGAAAGAGTTTTAAGTGATTGCGTAGTGTTATATATAGAAAAGGTAGTATTTACTATTATGTCTAGCAAGAATATTTTGAATACATTTCAAAAAATAAAAACTTGTTGAGGAGGGTTGTAGTATTATACTTGAATTCATTTTTTAATAAGATTCGAATTTGTATATTTTTATGTGTATCGTGACAGTAATTTATTATTTGTTCACTTCTTTAAATGTGACACCGCTTACGAAAAATTCTGTGTCCGCCCCTGTTGGTATGCTTGAAAAAAATTTTCTTGAAAAATAAGCGAACACTGTATGATAAGAAATGCGTAAGGGTAGGGGAAGGTGTTAGGGGCCGGAGTGGCGGTGCCGATGTTGGAGGGGTAGGGGTGGGGTAGGAGGTGGGGCACGAAGGTGGGGGTGGAGGTTGGGGTGAGGAGGTGGCGGTGAGGGTGGTGATGGGGGAATAAGGTAGGGAAGATTGAGAAAGAGTTCTGGAAAAATATTTTTCCATTTGATAAAGTAATTGGAGGAAAATGGGTTCATGAGGAAAAAAAATTCTAAAATATTTAAGCTAACCAAACATGAAAAAATTGAAAAACATCGTGTCAGACGCACCCTTAGTCTCAAAGTTCTAAAATTCTAAGGTTAGGACTCGCTTCAGTACAAAAGGAGGATCCAAACGCACCAAGGTCACCCTAGAATGCTAGATTCTCATAAGCGAAATGTGTCGATTTAGAGGCAAATTGAGAATTTGAATTATTTAAGTTGATTTATAATAATATCACGATCCAAAATTCCAATCAAAGGGGTCATGATGGCGCGTACACTGCTGGTTAGGCAAGCCAACACACAATAGTAAAATACGAAAGAACTGCAATTATCTTCTAACAGCAAGATAATAATATAGTGTAAAAGCAACTGAGAGGTGTATATGATAAGTCTAAGATCAACATTAACGTTCAACCATCCCAAGTCGTGGAATCACAAGTACATGAGCTTTTAGAATTTGCTAAATACATTGTCTTGAAAGAATTATAATAATGTTTGGAAAGTAGAAATAATACAACAGAAATGGAAAGATGACTCTAAGGTGAACGGGATGCAGCTCTACCTTGAGTTGTCTATGTGGTATCCACTAAGCGCCTCTCGGGACTCTGCTGGTACCAACGTATGAATCTACATAAGAAGTGCAGAAGTATAATATGAGTACAACCGACCCAATGTACTCTGTAAGTGCCGACCCTAGCCCCGATGAGGTAGTAACGAGACTAAGTCAAGATACTTATAAATAAATATGTACAGTTATATATATCAAGAAATAACAGGGTGACAAGTAAAGTATCGAGTACAATAATAGGTTACTAAAATGTGAGAGAAATAATAAATACATAAGTAAAGGAACGTAAAATAGAAAAGTAAAGGAAGGTGTTACCGAGTAAACCACAACTCATGCTTTTACAACAACTCTGAACAACTTATCAAACTGAAACACGGAACCTCAAAGTCAAGTCCACAATCCGGATAACAAGAAAGGAACAATAAAACCAACTAATGGCACGACATCACCCTTCGTGGTTTTACTCTCATCCTCACATCATAATATAGTAGCAAGCACAAAAATACCCTCCATGTATAACCTCACTTTCTCTCAAGCACGGAAACATCATTCGTGCAATGATATAATTAAAGTACGAAAACACCCTTCATGCACAATCACTCTTCTTCACAAGCACGACAATGCCCTTCGTGCATTTCACTATTCCTCACCAAGCATCACATGTAACACAATACCAAGCAAGGTGGGAAGCATAAATAACATCAAGGGTAACATTTGAACATAACTCGTCATATGAGAATTTACCAACACCTTTGTACCAACAGCCAAATCAACAATTCAACGATCTCAACACCCAATATCTCATTAAGCTCAACATAGGAAATAACATGAATACGAGAAATTAAAGAATTATACAATCTATCTAAAGCATGAAAGACATAATATACAAAGTAACATGGCACAAATAAGGCTAATTTTACCCGCATGTTTATCCCATAGACAATGCATATACACTCGTCACCTTGTATATACGATGCCCCAACACATAGATCATGTAGCAATAAGACTCAATTATACCCTAATTTCCTCAATCAGGGTTAACCAAGATACTTACCTTTTTTCAGAAAAAGATCAACAATTCAACACGGCTTTTCCTTTAGAATAAGCCTTCACCACCTGAATCTAGTCAAATATTATTTAAACAAGCTTTAGAAACTACCCTCGTATGAAAAAAGTTCAATCATTAACATATTTAGAAAAGTCAACAAAACGTCAACACAGGCCTACATGGTCGAAATCCGAAGTTAAGACCACGTCATGATTACCCATTCATTTCAGAGTCTAAATATGCAATTTGTTTCAAGATTCGACTTCAATTTGAGGTTTAAATCTTAATTCTACAAAATCTTTAGTTTCTACGCAAAACCTCAATTTCAACTGTATAAATCTTAGATTTGGTCATGAAAAAATAATGAAAATTGAATAAAAACAAGTTAAAGTTACAAACCTATGAAGTTGGGAAGAAATTTCTCTCAAAAAACCGCCTCTATGGAATGTAGGTCTAAAAAGTTGTGTAAAATGAGCTAAGTCTAGAAATCTCATTCTTTTACCCAGTTGCAGATATCGCAATCGCAAACTCTCATTCGAAATTGCAACGTAGGCAAAAGTGAACCACTGATCGCAACCCAGATGTCACAAATCCGACTGATCTTTCACATTTGCGAAGGTCCAACACCTCGCAAAAGCGAACCAAGCTTCACAACTGCGAAGCTGTTCCTAGCTCCCCCAGTGTCACAATTGCGAGCAATCAATCGCATTTGCGATACCCGTCCATTCACAAAAGCGGATATAACTTCGCAAAAAGCAAAGTGCCCGCCCTTTTCCAATCTTCACAAATGCGACCTAGCACTCGCAAATGTGAGGCTCGCATTTGCGAACAGGTCCTCGCAAATGCGAGACCTGCAGCCCAGCACACCACCAATCCTTCAGCTATGTGAAAACAGTCTGCAACTAATCTAAAACTCACCCGAACCCCTCAGGCTCCAATTCGAACATTCATTCAAGTATATTAACATCATACAAACTTGTTCTCAAGCTCAAATCAACAAAATAACATAAAAATAAAGAATCGCCCACCAAAACTCAAGATTTTCAAAGTTCAAACTCAAATTTCCAACTTTTTACATAAAGCGTCGAAATGGCCTCAGGTTACCCGGGATCTGAACCAAACATGACTACAAGTCCAAAATCATCATATGAACCTATCCGAATCGTCAACAGATCGATCCGAGATCATTTGACAAAAATGTTGACCTTGGTCAACACTAGCCACTTTCAAAGTAAAAAATCACTTTTTTTAAAAAAAAATTGCATTTGGACTTTCCTTATATCGACATGGACCACACACATACGTCATAAATCATCAAATAAATCTATGAAAGAACTCGAAATACAAAAAGGAAAGCTAGTACTCAAAATAACCTATGGGGTCGTTACATTCTCCACCTTTAAAAAAAACGTTCGTCCTCGAACGGACATAGAAATGTACTTGTACTGGAAAAAAGATACAAGTATCTACTCCTCATGTCGGAATCGGACTCCAGTATCCTCCTCAATCGGCTGACCTCTCCAATGCACTTTCACAGAAGGAATATCCATAGATCTCAACTTTCAAACCTGCCTATCTAGAATAGCCACCGGCTCTTCCTCATATGTCAAATTATCATCAAGCTGCATTGTACCGAAGTCTAAAACATGTAACATATCCTCATGGTGCTTCTAAATCATAGAAATGTGAAATACTGGATGTACCCCCACTAGGCTAGGACGCAACGCAAGCCTATAAGCAACCCCCCCAACTCTCTCCAAGATCTCAAATGGGCCAATAAACTTCGGGCTCAACTTGCCTTTCTTCCCAAATCGCATCACGCCCTTCATAGGAGAAACTCGAAGAAGAACCTTCTCACCCTCCATGTAAGCCACATTGCGGACCTTCCTATAATCCAAACTCTTTTGCCTGGACAGTGTTGTACGAAGCCATTCCTAAATAATTTTTACCTTCTCCATAACATCACGGACCAAATCTATGCCCAACAATCTAGTCTCACGAGGCTCAAACCAACTAACTGGAGAACAACATCGCCTCCTATATAAGGCCTCATACGAAGCCATCTAGATACTCGACCGATAGTTGTTGTTGTAGGCAAACTCCATTAGAGGTAGAAACTAGTCCCATGGACCTCCGAAATCAATAAAGCATGCCCTCAACATATCCTCCAAAATCTGAACGCTCTGCTCGAACTTCTTGTTTGTCTAAGGGTGAAACGTGGTACTCATCTCAACCTACATGCCCAACTGATGCTGCACAGATCTCCAAAAGTGTGAAGTGAACTGTGTGCCACGATCGGAATTGAGAGAAATGGGCACACCGTGCAGGAAAACAATCTCTCGGATGTAAATCTAAGCCAACCGCTCTGAAG